GGTGATTCTGGCTGTGCCCTGTCTAGAGGACGGAGCCTCCACCTGTGCACTAGGAGCCATCTCTTCTCACCTCCTAGGAGACAGTCCCCACTCTCCAGCACTGCCAGCTTGTCCCTCTCAACTGTATCACTCCCATGAGATCTGGGCCACCATCCATCTTCCTAGCCTGGTGCTAGGGATGTCAAAGATGACCTGACTCAGACAGGTTGCCTGCTTCTACTGAGTTCACGACCTGTGGGGGAGACAGATGCATTCCCTGACAGTTAAGTTTGCAGGCAGCACTTTGTATCTGTCACTTTCCAATGTAGCCTTTATTGTGCTTGGGAGGAAATGCCCTGAAGCAGAGAGCTGCAGCCCTGTCTCCCTGACTTCAGGAGGGAGAGCCCTGGGCTCCAATCCTTGGCCTCTTGGGCTATGGGAAACAGCTGGAAAGGGAGTCTAAGTCCACTCTGACCCATAGCTGTGTGATGTGCACAAAATGCTCTCCCTCTCTAGCCCTCAATAGTCCCAGCTCAGCATGCCCCACAGGGCTGGGGCAAATGAGACAAGAAGGGTGAAAATGCTTTGTGGACAAAGAGGAGTTCTAAGTGGCTACAGGAGAGGTGCCAGGTGTATTTTACAATTTTATGCTTTTTTGTTTTTTGTTTTTTGAAACAGAGTCTCACTCCGTTGTGCAGGCTGGAGTGCGATGGTGCAATCTTGGTTCACTGCAACCTCTGCCTCCCAGGTTCAAGTGATTCTCCTGCCCCAGCCTCCCCAGTAGCTGGGATTACAGGCACCCACCACTATGCCTGACTAATTTTTGTATTTTGGTAGAGATGGGGTTTCACCATGTTAGCTAGGCTGGTCTCAATTTCCTGACCTCAAGTGATCCGCCGCCTCGGACTCCCAAAGTGCGGAGATTACAGGCATGAGCCACTACGCCCAGCCTATTCTACAATTTTAAACATGATAGAGCTGTAGAATGCAAACATCAAGACTCTCAGAATTCCATTTGGGGTGTGTACCTTAAATCTTGTGTTGTTTATGCAGAGACCAACATTACAGCTAGTGCTCGACTTACGACCACGATTGGTCCCGACAGACCGGTCGTAACATGATTTGGTCGTAAGTTGAGTAGGCTATATGCACGCGGAGATAGTAGTGCTGCTGGAAGCTGGTCTGCACTGTTGTACGCCCAGCTGGGCAATGTTTGCGCTGCCAGACGCGGAGCAGTTGTGGCTAGCGATTGTGGTCGTAAAGTCGAATGGTCTTAAGTTGCATAGGTCGTAGGTCGATCAATACCTGTATATACACGCATGTGACCTCTTCATTGAAATTGGATCATCACATGCTATCTAAAGGTTATCAATGTTGGACTGCTTTCCATGTCAATATATAAACATCCATTTCTTTCTTTTTACCAGCTGCAAAATATCCCACGAACAGACTAAAATCTGACCCTTCATTGATGGATGTTTGGATTGCTGAACCACTAGACGAAATTCAGTGAGAGCAAATAGAAGTGTAATATGTGACAACCTGGCAGATCAAAGTGAGAATTTTATGACAGGAGACAGTAAAGCTAGAAGTGGGGAAGAGCTAAGTGAATCAACGTGTTGCAGTTGGAGCTCAGGATCACACCACCCCAAGAGGCAGGCGGCAGTGCAGCCAGAAGGCACTGATAGCTGTGGCCAGAGCTCCCTGCGGCTCCCAGCAGTGGGACCAGATGCAAACATCACCACATGTCTGGGCTTCCTATACCCTGATCAGTCTTTACTGAGTCAGAGGCTGTTTCAAGAGATGACCACACCCATCTTACAGCAGAATTTCTTACGGATAAGTGTGCTGCTGTCCTGGACCGTTCATCTATTCTGGGCCATTGGCCCAGCTCCGGCGTCATCCTCGAGTGCTGGGTGAACATTGCTGGGGCCTTGCTTGCGTGTGTGAGGGCCTCCACACACTTTTGTTGCTCCCCGTTGTGCCCAATGATTTTGATACCGTTAGGACCTCTTTGTCCACTTGCCTAATTATTCCTTAGGATAAATTCCTAAGAAATCAAATTGCCAGGTCAACATGTAGTATATTTTCATAGTTTGCTACTGACTAAAGATATTAAGGGTACAAAACAGACAGCCAGAATTAGATGCAGAATCACAGGGGAGTTTTGTTACCAAGACGTCATTTTTAACCAGGGAGAAAAGATGGGTTATGGGATAAATGGTATTGGAACAATAGGCTAGCCACCTGAAGAAAAATAACCTTACTCCTTATACAAAAATGAATCCCAATGGAAGCTAAGATATTAAAAACATGTTTTAAAAAAGGAGGAAAATGTTTACATGATCTTGATAAGGGGGTGGCCTAAACATTGTACAAAACCAACAAGTCATTAACTGAAAGACTGATAAGTTTGACTCCATGAAAATTAAAATTTTCTATGAAAAAAACACCATAAAGTTAAAAATCAATCAACAAACTGGAAAATAGATCCAAAACATACATAAGAGACAGAAGGCTGATTTTGGTATTATACATAAAAAGCTATTACAAATCATCAAACAAAAGATCCACAGCCAAAATGAAAAAATGAAGTTCCAGATAATTTTTTAACATAAGGAAATGTCAAAATATTTGACAAGTCTCTGTGTTGGCCTGGGTGTGGCCGTGAGTGGTAGTTGCCGGTGATATTCACAGGGTATACCCTTTCTCCTCCTTCTGGGCACTTGGTGCGATTGCAGGTTCCTACATTTAACCTTAGGTGCGGTCATGTGTCTTGCTTAGGAGGAGGAAACGTGAGCGGAAGTGGTGTGGGTCACGTTTGGGTGGAAGCTGCATGGAGGCACCTCTGCTTTCCGTCAGCCTCAGTGTTAATGTTCTGAATGATGGTTGCTTGATCAGTCTAGTTCTGGGGTAAGGCTAATAAAGTAAGGAAGCAAAGTCTTCGATGGGCATGTGGTGTGTGGGAGAAATAAACCTTTGACATTTCAAGCCCCTGAGATTTGGGGCGTGCATGTGCTGAAAGCAGAACTTAGCCTATTCTGACGGAGTCCTCCAGCATTGCTGTGGAAGGACATCACCAATATATAGCATTCCTGTGCTCTTTATCTCGAAATTCCACTTCCAGGAATTTAGGAAGCAGATACTCTCGCAGGTGCAAAGAGCTATGGATAAGGATAGTTCACAGCAGATATTGTCACATGTATAAAGAGATGCTCACATGTGAAACAGATTCTCTCACGTGTACAGAGCTATGGATAAGGATAGTCATGGCAGCTTTGATTGTAATAGCAAAAGACAGAAGCAACCAGCAGAAACACCAACCAATAGGAACTTGGCTAAAGACACTGTGGAACATACATAGAATGAAATATCTGCAGCCAGAAAAATAAGGCAGTAGATGTCAGTGCACCAGTGCAGTTTTTACCCCAAGATTAGGGCTGGGTTAAGATGTCAGATTAAGTTGTCCTTCTCCACCCCACCAATATAAATAAAAAGTTAAAAGTCAGTCATAAATATTTTTACAATTTTTAAAAGTGCCTTAAAAAGCCCATTCAAAATAGTTTCATAAAAGTAGACTATCGGCCGGGCGTGGTGGCTCACGCCTGTAATCCAAGCACTTTGGAGGCCAAGGCGGGCGGATCACCTGAGGTCGGGAGTTCAAGACCAGCCTGACCAACACGGTGAAACTCCATCTTTAATAAATAAATAAATAAATAAATAAATAGTTTATCAATAGCAAAGACCTGGAACCAACCTAAATGCCCACCGATGATAGACTAGACAGGGAAAATGTGGCACATATACACCATGGAATATTATGCAGCCATAAAAAACGATGAGTTCGTGTCCTTTGTAGGGACATGGATGAACCTGGAAACCATCATTCTCAGCAAACTGACACAAGAACAGAAAATCAAACACCGCATGTTCTCACTCATAGGCGGGTGTTGAACAATGAGAACACATGGACACAGGGAGGGGAGCATCTCACACTGGGGTCTGTCAGGGGGAAATAGGGGAGGGACAGTGGGGGGTGGGGAGTTGGGGAGATATAGCATGGGGAGAAATGCCAGATATAGGTGATGGGGAGGAAGGCAGCAAATCACTCTGCCATGTGTGTACCTATGCAACAATCTTGCATGTTCTTCACATGTACCCCAAAACCTAAAATGCAATTTAAAAAAAAGTAGACTTATCTCTGAAAAGATACCCAATAAATATTAAATTAGGTATACTAGTTTCTGGGGCTGTTATAACAGGTTACCACAAATCTGCTGGCTTCAAACAACAAAAATGTATTCTCTTGCAGTTATGGAAGGCAGGGTTCTGGAATCAAGGGTTGCAGGGTGGTGACCTCTCCCAAGGCTCCGTGGGAGGAACATTCCTTCTTCTTCCAGCTCCTGGGGGCTCCTGATTCCGTGGCTTATATCAGCACAGCTCTAATCGGCACTTCCATCTGTACGTAGGTGTCTCTGTGTCTCAAGCATCTCTCTCCTTTCTTTTCTGATATCGGTCATTAGATTTAGGGCCTACCCTAAACCCAGGATAATCTCCTCACGTGATCCTTAGGTCAGTTACATCTGCAGAGATCTCGTTTCCAAGTAAGGTCACATTCACACGTTCCAAGAGTTAGCCTTGGAATGACCTTTTTGGGGGACACCATTCAACCCGCTACCACGGCTAACAGTGGTTTCCCCTGGGAAGGTGGGGGTTTAGGAGTGGGAGGAAAATGAACTTTTCACTGTATGTTTTTTGGAACTATTCCAATTTTAAAAATCATTTTCATGTAAATTTTAAAAACTCGAACATCCACACGCAAAAATACCCCCTCCCTTGTGAAAAAGAGTATGCCCATTTAAAATGTTGAAATGTACACTCATACCAATGGTGGCTGCAGACTCCCAAGTTTCTGAGTTTGGAGAAGGTAGCTAGGGAGCGTAATAGTGAGTTCTGTCTATGCATTCAGGCTGTGAGGGGAAGGCCAGGGCTAGAAGAGCATTTTGAGGGACAGGAAAAGTGGCATTTTTGAGGGGGAAGCCTTGAGGATGCTTGCGGGGTGAAGGGAAAGAATGACACAGGAAGAGGGATTTGGAGATAGGAGAGGAGATGGTGGAGGGAGCTGATCCCTGCGGAGACCAGATTGGGGCAGAGGAGGAGCAGCTAAGTACAGGAGGATGGTCCCCTCTGCCCTGAAGGAGGAAGGCAGGAGGTGAAAAGGATGAGTATAGACCCAGAAAGCACTTGTGAGAGAGGGGAGGCCCCAGAAGAGGCATCTGACTTACCCTGATTGCTGGTCCCTCTCAAGGGTGAGTTGCTGGCCAGGGCGTAAGAGAAGGTGGGAGGAGGTGAAAGAACTCCTTTGGGTAACTTCTGGGAGGGGTAATGGCTGAGGGATGAAAGCCCTGCCAAGTGGCAGGAGGCCCCGCTGGGGCTGCCCCTTAAAGAGTGCAGTGGAGGATGTGGAATGAGAAGTGACTGCCCCTCTGGTTCCATCTGTCGCAGAGCCCAGGGTGCTTCCTTCCTCCCCCACCTCCCTCAGAACACACCCATTACATGCTGGACAGCGGCCCCCTTCCTGGGCCTGGGGACATCCGTGTCCCTCTGTGCACAGGCTTCACATCCTCTGGGTGCAAGGTAAGAATCCTTGGTAGGTGAGAAGCCAAGGTCCCAAAGGGGAGCAGCAGGGAAAGTTAACTCCCATCTATTCTTGCTCCAGGAGAAGGCCCTTGATGTGGAAGCTGCCACAAGCAGCAAATACAACTCCAGTCACAGGCAGCGGGAAGGAGAGCCACCTCTGCCACCGCTGTCCACAAACCATGAGCTCCTACTCTGTGCTGTGATGGTGGGCTCAGTGGGGATAGCTCTGACCTTACCTCATGGAGTCACTGCCAACTCCTTGGCTGCACAGTCTTTGTGCACTGGCTCTCTGGAGTGTGGTCTTTGCAAACAAAGTGGAAAGGGTACCAACTTTGGACTCCAGCACCTAGATTCAGAGCAGGTCATTTCACTCAGAATCTGCTGTGCAGCTGCAAGGGAGAATCATAAAGGCTACTTTGTTTCTTCCCAGTATTAACAACCCTTCCAGAAAGAGCAAGCCTCATGTCATGCCACATGTACAATCTGAGGCCAGGGGCTCTCTTTCCCCTTTTCATCCTCCTGTCTGGTACACAATAGGTGTTTACTGGATGGCTGTCCAGTTGACTTCTTTAACATAATGTGTAAAAGGAATCTTTGCAAATTGAATCTTCTGAAACACTGAGCTTGTGCCTGCCATGGAATTCTGAATGTACCTATATGACGTCTTTGCAAACTTAAAACCTGAATCTTTGCAATATAAATCCCTTGAAATGCATGTAGGCTGGACATCAAAAGCAAGCAGTATCTTCAAGGAACAGCTAGTTGGTAAGGTCAGTGTGCAGGATGCATAAAGGGCAGAGGTCGGAGGGGATCCAGGCTAAGTTTAGAAGGCTACCAGGCAGGTTAAGGCCAATGGAAAGAATTCAGTAGGGAGTGAGGAGCCCACAGTAGGATTGATTCAGAAGGCTTATTGGTCCGCAGGCGACAAGAAGGACCCAGGAAACACTGAAAAGGTGGGCCCAGCAGAACTCCCACGCAGGGTGAGAGGCGGGAGAGAAGGTGCCTCCAGAGCGCCGGCCGCCTTCCACCCAGTTAGGATTTGGGAATTTTTTTCTTCCCTCTGCGCGTGATCTGACGCTGTTTGGGGAGGGCGAGGCCGAAACCTGATCCTCCAGTCCGGGGGTTCCGTTAATGTTTAATCAGATAGGATCGTCCGATGGGGCTCTGGTGGCGTGATCTCCGCGCCCCAGGCTTCAAGCACCCACACCCTAGGTTTCTGCAGTGGCGTCGAGGCGAGCAGGGATGCAGGTGGGTGTAGCCGCTCAGTTCAGGGTCTGAGCCTGGAGGAGTGAGCCAGGCAGTGAGACTGTCTTGGGCCGGGACGCGTCGTTGCAGCGCACAGCTCCAAGCCAGGACGTCGCGCGCCCCTTCGCACGCCCTGCCCCTGAACTACAGCTTCTGCACAGTCGTCCCCGCCGCAAGGCACAAGGCGCCGCGGGCGTGGATCGCGCACAGCTTCTAGGTCTCCTTGCCAGGACTGCAACCACTCCTTTGGCCCTGATGGGCACCGTCAGCTCCAGGCGGCTGTGGTGGCCGCTGCCACTGCTGCTGCTGCTGCTCCTGGGCCCCGCAGGCGCCAGTGCGCAGGAGGACGACGACGGTGACTACGAGGAGCTGGTGCTAGCCTTGCGCTCCGAGGAGGACGGCCTGGCCGATGCGCTCCAGCACGGAGCCACCGCCACCTTCCACCGCTGCGCCAAGGTGAGGGCTTAGAGGTGGGAGGCCAGGGCGAACCTGCAGCCGGGAAGGTGAGGTGCTGTTTCCTCTCGGGCCTCAGTTTCCCCCCATGTAAGAGAGGGAGTGGAGAGCAGGTCTCCGAGGGCTCTTTGCTTGCCACGATCTTTGGGACTGCAGGCAAGGCTGCGGGGGAGGACGGGTCGTGGTGGAGAGAGGGGACAGTCGGCTCGTTGGGGACGCGCTTGGGCGTGCGGCTGTGCGAATCAGTGGGAAGGTTCGCGGGGGTGGGAAACTGGGAGGCCGAGAGAGGGCTAGCAGAGCACTGCCAGGATCTCCTGCCCAGATTTCACTTTCCACCCCGCAGCGGCACAGGTGGGTGAAGGAGTTAATGCCTGGAACGCACTGGGAACGGCACCGGGCGCAGAGGAAGCAGGCTTGCCATTATTGTGGGTTCTGATTTGGTTTGGTTAAACATGGGCGATGGAGGGTGAAGGGCCTGTAGCCAAGACAGGGGCGGGGTGGGAGGGACGACAGACGCTGGGAGCGCGAGGCAATTTCTTTATGGACCCAGAACTCATGCTCTAAGAGTCCATCTGTTTCAGCTGAAGAAAAGAACCAGCTGAAGGGCCAGGGGAGAAGGGGCGGAGTTATTCTCGAGGCCCATTGGTGTCCTTTAGAACTCAGGCAGGGAAGGACCCTTGGTGCTCTGGGGCCAGAGGTGGCACGCACGCCTGGTGTTGGGACCCCGGAGCTGAGCCCCACCCCCGCTGGCTGGCTGGCTGCAGACGGCGGGGGCAAGTTTGCTTAATAACTCTGCCTGCAGCAGGCCCTCGGGCTCTGGGAAGCTTCTTCCCGGGGCCGGGCCGCTAGTTTTTTTCCAAGTGTTACCAGCCCAGGACTTGGCTGAGGTCCTGTGTCTCCCAGCTTAGAGTCAGATCTGGGCCTGAATACTGCCTTCCTCTCACTAGCTCACTAGCTGTGGTGCTTGACAAGTCACCTAACCTTGAGCTCCATTGCCTGATCTTTAAAAGGGAGGTGACAATCCTCCCTAAGGGTTCAGTGGCAGCAGGTGGGGAGATGAGGGAAAGTTCTGTTGACCCCGAGTGACCTCATGATGCAAGCCCAGGGAGGGATTACTTGCAGTTTTATCCCTGTCTGCGGTGTGACCTGTTGGTGACATCGTCTCCAAATCGCAGCTCCTGGGGCAGAGGGGCAAATTCTGCCATTCACAGCTGCCGGCCCACGCTCCTGTCTGAGTGTGCTGAGTGGCAGAATGGCGTGCCCTTACTCAGCTCAGTATAATTCTCTTCCTTGTTCCCTGAGCCTTTGACCTTCTAGAGGGAGGTTGTGGGGTTGTGGTCAGGATAAGAAAGGACATGTCAAATTACCACTGCTCCAAAAAGCCTGTTCTGGAAGTAGCGAGTACCCCATCCTGAGAGGTGAGTAGGCAGAGGCTGCATGACCACCTGAACCAAGCCCCTGGGCATGTTTCTTCTCTGGTGGAAATTTGGAACACACACCTCCTCAAGTTGATTTATTCATTCATTCAATGGATATTTCGTGGGACTCAAATTTAGAATGAAAATGTTTTTTTGGCAAGCAGAAAAGGATTTTTAGACCAATCCTTTTCCTTTAGTCATGAGAAATTAAGGCCCAGAGAAAGGAGGTGCATCCCGAGTGCATTAGAACTGGGTTTTCAGAACTCACATTCCACTGCACAGTGTAGTCTCCCAATTCATTCAATTTTTATTTAGCAAAAGGCATTTTAGAAGGGTCTTTGAAGCATTGGTAGGAGTGTAGCAATGACAGTCTCAGGAGAATTTTATTCTAAGAGTAGGAGGTACCAGGAACAAAGGTACAGAGCTGGGAAAACCAGAGGTGGAGGATAAGGAGCACGCGCCACAGTTCTTTTTCTTTTTTTTTTTTTTTTGAGATGGAGTTTCCCTCTTGTTGCCCAGGTTGGAGTGCAATGGCATGGTCTCAGCTTATTGCAACCTCTGCCCCCTGGGTTCAAGTGATTCTCCTGACTCAGCCTCCCAAAAAGCTGGCATTACAGGTACCTGCCACCACGCCTGGCTAATTTTTGTATTTTTAGTAGAGATGGGGTTTCAGCATGTTGGGCAGGCCAGTCTCAAACTCCTGACCTTAGGTGATCTGCCCACCTCGGCTTCCCAAAGTGCTGGGATTATAGGTGTGAGCCACCGCACCCAGCCTCCCCAGGTCTTTATCCGTCTTCTGAAATGTAAAATGTTCTGAAAACCAAAAGGTTTTTTTGTGATTTATTTGATGGTAGCACCTGACATGAACTGACATGAGGTTATTTTTAATCCATTTGTGTGCATATGCATATTCATATATTTTGCTGCATAGATTACAGTATGCAGCTCCAGATTCCTCCAAGAAGACTCTCTGATTGCCCATTACTGCCTTTCTAAAATCCAAAGAAGTCTGAGGTTCAAAGCTGATTTGGCCCTAAGGCTTTGGGCAAAGGGGGTGGACTCTGTTCTACTCTGACTGGCATCCAAGATGCATATATACAGAGATGTGGGTGATGAGGCTGCAAAGGTGGGCTGAGGTAGCGGCCCAGGAGGAGCATGGAGTTTGGATTCGATCCATTAGGCGGTGGGCAGCCAGTTCTTTCTTCCTATTCTTGAGCAGGTGTGTCTGCTTGAAAGCAGTTGGAGCAGACAAGGGCTAAAACCAAACAAGTCATCTGCAGACAGTGGCTGCTACAGTTTTTTTTGTCCCCTCCAAATCTCATGTGGAAATCTGCTCCCCAGTGTTGGAAGTGGGGCCTAATGGGAGATGTCTGGGTCGTGGGGGAGGAACTCCCATGAAAGGCTTGGTGCCATCCTTGTGATAACGAGTAAGTTCTCCCTCTTATTTCCCTTGAAGGTTGATTATTAAAAAGAGCTTGGCACCTCCCCCACTTCTCTCTTGCTTCTTCTCTTGCCATATGATTGATCTCCACACATGCACGTTCCCCTTCACCTTCTGCCATCAGTGGAAGCAGCTTGAGGCCCTCACCAGAAGCAGATGCTGGTGCCATGCTTCCTGGAGATGGAAGAACCAGGAGCTGGACAAATCCCTTTTCCTTATAAATTACCCACCTTCGGGTATTCCTTTATATAGCAACACAAGAGAACTAAGACAGTGGCCCTGACTACTCTCTCTTTAAGAAGTGTTGCCACCAGATGCAGTGGCTCATACCTGTAATCCCTGCACTTTGGGAGGCTGAGGCGAGCGGATCACCTGAGGTGGGGAGTTCAAGACCAGCCTGACCAACGTGGAGAAACCCTGTTTCTACCAAAAATACAAAATTAGCTGGGCATGGTGGCGCACTCCTGTAATCCCAGCTGCTCAGGAGGCTGAGACAGGAGAATCGCTTGAACCTGGGAGGTAGAGGTTGTGATAAGCCAAGATTGCGCCATTGCACTCCAGCCTGGGTGACAAGAGGGAAACATCGTCTCAAAAAAAAAAAGAAGTGTTGCCTTTGCTCACTTAGTCATCCCTTCTGCCTGCATTTCTAGAGCATTCAGCTGGGAGATTTATACTACCGTCACTCCTGACCTTCCCAGCAGGCCTATGTCATAGGTACTACAGTCTCTACAATACCGCGGAGCTATGCGAGGCTCAGAGAGGTTGAGTGACTTACTCATGGCCGCACAGCCAGTAAATATTGGAGCTGGAATGCAGGTCCACAGTTTCCTGGCTTCCAAGCCCATGAGTTTCTCCCTCAATTTATTCCAATTGGGGCATGGGGGAGGGGGTGGCCTTTGGGCAGGGCCTCCAGGGGTGGCCAGGCCCATAGAGAGCTGGGTGCAGGTACAGAGGAGAACCTGGTTTCCAGTGTGGCTCATGGTTCCCATTTTTGCCTGACTGCCACATTTGGAAGTGTTCTATAACTATGTGAATAATAATAGTTGGCCTATATGAGTTTTTAAATCTGCTTTTTGGTCTGCATTTGGTAACTTCATCATTTCCTATACTCTGTGGTGTCTCTTTCGCTGTAATTCTAACTTGTAAGCAGGGGTGAGATAAAGTCCATGTAGGGTTTGCTAGGTTTCTTCCATATCATCGTGTTCCTCCTTGCATGGGGTCAGGACCCCTGGAGGCTGCCCGGCACCTATGTGGTGGTGCTGAAGGAAGAGACCCACCGCTCGCAGACAGAGCGCACCGCCCGCCGCCTGCAGGCCCAAGCTGCCCGCCGGGGATACCTCATCAAGCTCCTGCATGTCTTCCACGACCTTCTTCCTGGCTTCCTGGTGAAGATGAGCCGCGACCTGCTGGAGCTGGTGAGCCACCCTTTTTGGGAATGGCACTTCCCGATAGGGTTGGTCCACTGCATATATGCTGGGGACTGTGCTTAGTAGGCCCATTGCTGAAAATCAGAAGGGGACAGCAAGTATGAATTGAGCACTTACTGGGTACCAAGCACAGCAACTACTGGCTTTCTGTATAGAATGCCCTTTAAGCCTGGCCGTGCCCCAGTGTTATGTCCATCTTCATTTGAAAGATGAGGAGACCAAAGTTCAGAAGGGACCACACAGATGGCTAGGGGTAGAGCCTGGATCAAACCTAGTGGTCTGCCTGCCAGCCATTTTTGTGCCAATGCATCTGCTGCCTATGGGAATCCATAGGGACAGGCCCTGGGATGTACAATGGAGCCTGAGTCATTTGATAAAAAAGCGTGACTCAAGGGTCCAAAATTTCATTGAAGTTGCTCCTATCCAGCGTAAAGTTCCTTCTCTAGGACAGGGTGGCTCTCCTCCCTCCTGGATGTCACATCTTTGGTGGAAGGGCAGAAAGGGGACTGGGTATTCTCACCCTGGCCCTAGTGCTTCAAATCTTAAAAAAAGCTTTCTTGGTTTTGTTTCTGCCCCACCTTCTAGCCCACCCCTTTCCCTGGCCTCTCGATGAGAACATGTATCATTTTCACACTGATTCTCCACATGGTGGCGGTGGGTGCTTCTCAGCCTCCTGTAGACAGTGGGGCCCAGGCTCTTGTCCAAGGTCACACAGCATGATGGGCAGGTCAGAGTCTGGACCTGGGTCTTCTAGCTGCAATGCGCTGCTGCCCCATGGGTAATCAACTCAGCATCCAGTGGCTGAACATCTACCGCATACCAAGGCCTGTGGGGCCATGACAGGGATTGACAGGATCCCTGCCTTGGGAACCTGGAGCCCAAGCAGAGGAGGCTGACAAGTCAATGCCTTCCAACAGTCTACTCGACACATATTTCCCAAGCACCTGCTGTGTGCTGCAGAGGCGAATGTGACACAGCCCAGGCCTTTCCCTTGAGCTTACAGTTCAGAAGGAGAGACTGACCAGTGGCTGCCAGTACCGCTGGCTATGGGACAATGTGCTCAGCACTGGGGAGGGGTGAAGAAGGTGCCCGCATAGCACCAGATGACAGGCACAAGCCACACAGGCCAGGGCAGCTGCTCAGAGGAGAGGAGGCTGAGCAGAAGGCTGCAGACATTTGCCATCGAGAGCCAGGCTTCAAGCTGGGCATCATACCAGCCTGGTTCGAGTCCCACCCAGCCCCTTATTGGTTTGTCTAACCCTGGGCAAATGCCTTCACCTCTCTGAGCCTCATTCCCCTATCTGTAAATCAGGCATAATAATGGGAACATTCTTTTAAGGACTAAATGAGATCGTGAAGCATTCAGCAGATGCTAGGTACTCACTGAAGTGTGGGCAGGTTAAGAAGCCTCTGGGGATAGCAAGGCATCCAGGGACCAGTTATGGCAGGAAGCTGTTACCACCTAGGTCTGAAGGGTAGGAGCGGGAATAGTTTTCCCTCTGCCCAGCTGGAGCTGGTGGCATGGAGAGGCTGCCCATGGGGAGTCACCTGAGGGTTCAGCACTGCCAAGTGCAGGGAGTCGGGCGGCAGGGAGGGAGAGGGGCAGATGCACACTTTTTTTTTTTAAGACAGTCTCTGTCACCCAGGCTGGAGTGCAATGGCACAATATCAGCTCACTGCAACCTCTGCCTCCCAGGTTCAAGTGAATCTCATGCCTCAGGCTCCCGTGTAGCTGGGATTACAGGCATGCACCACCATGACAGACTAATTTTTGTATTTTTAGTAGAGATGGGGTTTCACCATGTTGGTCAGACTGGTCTCAAACTCTTGACCTCAGGTGATCTGTCTGCCTTGGTCTCCCAAAGTTCTGGGATTATAGGTTTGAGTCATTACTCCCTGTCAGAGATGCACTCTTGTCCCTTCAACTCCTGCTGGTGCCTCCCATTGGCTGAGCCCAACTGGAAGCTGTGCAAGGGAGCTGGTGCTGCAGTTTGCACTGAGCAGGCAGGAGAAGGATGGGAATAGACTGGAGGACAGACAGAATTGCCAGTGCTGTTATGTCATGATTGAGGCATGGAGTCCAGGGCCTGAGCTTCGCTCCATGTCCATCCTGCCCAGAGCCTTGGCACACCCTGGCTCCCAGACGAGATGTCAAGTTCAGAATCCTCTAAAAGGAATCCTCTGTGCCAGGCTGCATTGCAGAGATATGGGAGTGCTGGGTTCCCAGCCTGAGCAAGGAGTGAGAAAACTCCAGCTTCCAGTCTGTCCTCCAGGTCACCAGGAGGGAGTCAGGGACAAGGTCTGAGGTCTGCTGGGACAAGGTGGGAGGCTGCTGGGCTGAGATGTGGGGACAGGTTTAATCAGGTGAGGCTGGGCTGTGGCTGTGTTTGCTGCTGTCCCAATGGCTTAAGCAGAGGCCCCCGGACTCTCTGGCTTCTGCAGGCCCTGAGGTTGCCCCATGTCTACTACATCGAGGAGGACTCTTCTGTCTTTGCCCAGAGCATCCCATGGAACCTGGAGCGGATTACCCCTGCGCGGTACCGGGCAGATGAATACCAGCCTCCCAGTAAGACCCCCTCTGTGTCTTCCCTCCCCATCTAAGCTGAATTTGTTTGCTCTGCTCTGGCCTCGCCTCCCTGCCGGTGGTTTCCACCTCTCAAGGGCTCTGGGACTCAGCACCTCCACTGACCCCTTTTTTCCTGTCCCATCCCCAACCTCTGCAGCCCACACTGCCTGCCTTCCTTCTGCTCCACAAACGCGAAAGTCTTTCCTTAAATGATCCTCTCTTCCTCCCTCCTTCTTGTTTTCCTCTTCTCTCCATTCGGAATGGCCCAGCAGGCTCCACTCACCTTGGGGAGAGGGTTAATCTGATGCTGACTCTTCCTAGAGCCCCCAGGTCTCCAGAACTCCCAGTGCCCTGCAGACTGGACCAGACCCTAAAGGGATAGACGCAGCCCGGTCTGGGGGCCCTGCCTAGCTTCCTACTGTGCTGCTCCACCTGCCTCCAGCTCCATTAGGCTTTGTGGGGCTCCCTGCACGGGCCACTTTGTGTCTTCCCTCTAGGCCTTCCCTTCCACTCTTCCCTCTGCCTGGTGTAGCCTGGCTATGGCGGGGAGAGAGGAGGAGAGGCCAAGGAAAATGGTCTGCATTCTAGCAGGGCCTTGCAGGTGGCAATTATTTAGTCGGGGAAGACTCTAGATGCACCTGGTCTGAGGAGAGGATGAAGGGTTCTCACCGGACTGTGTTAAGTTTGAGGTGCCATGGTGTGCGGTCTGGAGCTCAGTGCAGAGACGATGCAATGTGGTGAGTCCATGCAACATGGGGCCAGGACGCAGAGCTTGGGGTGAACTCAGCTTCCACCCCTTACTGGTTCTTGTGGGGTCTTGGGAAGCCACTTGCTTCTATGAGCCTCACCTTCCTCATCTGTAAAATGGGCATATAACCCTGTCCCTGTCCTCACAGGTTACTGTGAGACTCCAATGAGGTGAAGGATGTGCAAATGCTTTTGGAATTGACAAGTTGGGGGGCTTCTGAGTTGCTGCCATGGCGACGATCAGAGCTGGTGGGCAGGGTGTGGAGATAGGGTGTGTGTGGGGGACATCTTCTGGCAAGGGTGTCAGCAGCGGAGGTGAGGGGCCTGGCTGGTTGTGTGTGCTGACCTGGCCTGGGCTGCCTGTGGCTAAGGAGAGGACAGGCTCCTGTGTAGCAAGAGCCTGTTCCTTTCCAACCAGGCCAGACCTCTTCAGTGGAATCCTGGAGCCCCTGAACTTCACATCAGTGCCCCAGGGACCTCCCGGAGCAGGCTAATATCAGAGACTGAGAGGGACACTGGCAGAGGGTCACGGAGACCCTGGTCCCAGCAGAAGAGCAAGAAGATCTTGCCCCCCAGGTTAGCTTCCTAGCACTGCTGTGACAAAGTACCACACCCTCAGCTGGAACAAGACGATTCTCTGCAGTCCTGGGGGACAAAAGCCTGTCTCAACTGCGGTGGGCCCACATTCTCCCTAGGGGCTCCAGGGGAGCAGCTTCTCTTGTCTCTTCCATCTCCCAATGGCTGCAGCACTCCCATCTCAGCGTGTCTTCACACAGCCTTCTCTGGGCCTCCCTCCTCTTCACGGTCTCTTAAGGACTTGTTGGATTTCGGGTCCACTGGATGATGCTGATCTCATGTGGAGAAACTTAAGCACAGCTGCAAGGACCCTTTTTCCAAATCAGGTCACAGCCACGGGTTGTAGGGGTTCAGATGTGAGCATCTCTCTTTGGCAGCCACCGTTCCCTCCTCTCCCTTGGGCCAGAAGCAGATACGGGGTCCTTTCCTCCCCCTAGGATGCCCATGGATTACCCCCTCCCCACTTCCCCCGAGTGGCTGTGGGAAGTGGCAGGAATGGCAGCAGGGGTGTGGAACCCCTTCTGGGGTCACATCAAGGTTTTGACTAGAAGAAGTCCTCCCGGAGCTGCTGGGCTGGCGTGGGGCAGGCTGGCTGGGTGGAGCAGCAGCCTCTTCACGCACAGGGAGGCCACGAGCATGGGCGCTGGGGCTGGCAGCTGCCCTCAGACCCAGACCCTGCACTCTTAACTGTGTGACCTTGCATATGTCACTCACCCTCTCTGAGCCTCAGGTTCCTCTGCAAAAGGGAGGTAATGATAACCCTCACCTGGGGGCTGTTTAGAGGGTGAAATGAGTTATTGCTGTAGCACGCAATCAAGTATTGAGTGAGGTGCTGTGATTTTAGCCCTGCTTTCTTTTTTCTCACCATTCAACAATAATGTCTTGAGCACCCACTGTGCGCTAGGCACCATACTAGGTGCTGGGGATACAAAGGTGAATGTGGGGGATGTGGTCTCTGTCCCCAGCAGTGTATCCAGATCAGTCCATTCCTTAAACAAATACTACTTGGCACAAATTAGTTCTGGTTGGGCTGAGAGCTCTGAAGGAGTGCCGGCAGCTGCGGGCATGTGTAACTGGCAGAGGGATCAGGAAGGCTTCCTGGAGGAAGTGCTATTCCAGCCAAGACCTGCGGGGGCATTATTAACCAGGCAAAGGGGACAGTGTCCCAGCAGAAGAATGAACAAGGACAGGAACTGTGCAGAGGGAACTGAGGCAGGTGAGACCAGCAGGGCCTGGGTGGCCTCCAGGGCAGATGTGAAAGGAAGAACTCGGCCACAGTCTGAGCTTCTTAGGCATGGCAGGGCTGCCGGGTGAGAGGGGATGAGCTCCCTGCTCTGGAGGTATGGAAGCAGGACTGGGCTCCCACCTGCCAGAGGCCACAGAGCTTTCTGTAGCAAGCCAGAGGCTGGAAGAGGCCACTCCAAGGCCTCTTTGCCCCTGAGAATGATGGCTCTTCTTGAGGCCACCTTGCCATGCTGTCACAGGGAACAGTAGCAGCCCCTGCCTCACACGGGGGGAGGTGATTGGAGGATGGAGGGGGACCTAGGAAACAGCCCGGGGGCCCTGTGTCCCATCCGAGCTGGGCCCCTTTCCAGCCTCTCACTGGAAGGAAGCCCAAGGAGGTTCCTGCAGGGGTCTTGGCTTTCGCTTTTGTTCCAGATGTGGAGGCCATGGTGGGGCCATGGGCCATGGGTGGGCGTTCCAGGCTTACAGCCTCTCTCCTGGCCGTGTCTTACCAAGAGCTGCCCCTTTGCCAGGCCCACCTGCCCTCTGCCGGCCATGCTTGCAGCCTCCTGACCCTGTCCCAGCAGGACAGCGGGCTGGTGTGGGGGGGCAGGAACCGCCTGCATTTAGAAGGGTGGGGCTGCCTCCCTGAGCTTCTACCTGAGCTGACGCAGCTGCAGCCTCAGCCTGTCCCCTCCTGACTTCCTGCTGTGGCCAGACATTGAGCAAAGGCCTTTGTACACCATGCCCTGGGGCTGGCCTTGCCATAACTGCTAAACAGTTGATAAATCCCAGGCCCAGGGATATGACTTCGCCATGGTCACATCATCTTGCAGCGGACCCCAGGTACAGCTCCTGGAGCAGAGGGCAGTCCCGAGCACAGGTGGGCCCAGAAAGGACTCTCACCTGGGCTGACGCAGCTGCAGCCTCAGCCTACTCCTCACCCACGACGAGGAGCATGGACTGGCAGCCTGCCCAGACGGCCTTCTGCTCCATGTGCATTCTGTGGCTTCTGTTCAGGGAGGGAAGCAGCCTCGGGGCTGTCTTCTAGATGAGCCTGTGTCCTGCAGGCTGTCTGCCAGTGTATCCAGTTGTCCCGTCAGCCTGGAAGCTCTGAGGGAGAACCTTGGGCTGCTTCCTGAGCACCTGTGTCCCCTGCAGCCAGCACGGGGCCTCTGACAGGAGCACACTGGCCATAGCTTATGGGCCTCTGCCCTCCTTGTCATGTCTGCCCCTTCGACATTCCACAGCCCAGCTCAATATCTAGTGGTTCCTCTAGGGGGACCAGCACCCTTTGGTCTCCGATGTCTTTGGGCGGGAGCTCACAGCACTCTCAGCCACCCCTTCCCAGCATAGTACCAGGCACTGGTAGATGCCCACTGATCAGTAAAAACTCCTAACACACTCAGAGAGCAAGGACTCTGCCTTATCCCGTGGCTTAAGAGGAGAGGTAGACTGCTGAGGACCTGCTCAGCATGCCATAGAAGTCACCAAAGTGCTCACAGGCACTGACCAGTGGAGCTTCCTGCCGAGAATGGAGGCTGTAGGGCAGGGTGGACAGTGTGTGTGCAGGCTGGGAAGTGACTGCCTTGCCCAGCCCTAATGGCATAGTGGGTGGATGGGAGGATGCAAGACTCGGGGCTGACCTTGCCTGAAGTTAGTGTGGGATCTCAGAGCAGCCACTGAATTGCTCTGTAGTGGGCCAAATAGCAGCCCCCACAGACCCACGCACCCAGACAGAGCCTGTGAGCCTGGCCTTATTTGGAGAAAAGGTCTTTGTAGATGTAATTGAGCATCTCAAGATGGCATCATCTGGATTCTCCAGTGGGCTGTAAGCCCAATGATGTGTCTTTATGAGAGAAAGGTGGAGGGAGATTTGAGACACACAGGTGAGGCCACGTGGAGACTGAAGTGGAGACTGGAGAAATGTGGCCACAAGCCAGGGAACACCAGCAGCCACCAGAAGCAGGAAGAGGTGACGCAGGGTTCTCCCCTGGAGCCTTCGCAGCTGAGTTTGGGAATTTGTTACCGAAGCCATGAGAAGTCAGTTCCCAGCCTGCACACGCCCTGGGCCTCCTGCACTTGCTCGCCTGTCTGGAGATGAGAATCTCTACTCTGCAGCATATTTGGAGGATCACTGCGGGGGCCACGGAGGTGCTGTTCAGATGGCACTTCAGAAGACTCAGGAGGACCCTGGGGCAGGAGCAGGTTGACTGACAGCCCACAGGGTTGCCCTCTGGTTCCACCCAAGGCCCTGCTTCTCCTGGTGGCAGGAGTTCCAGCGCCAGGCCATTTCCGCTGGCGCAGGACTCTGTGCCAGCAACCTGCCTCAAGTCTTCCTTTGGCCTGGTTGAGAGTTTCTGAGAACTGCGCTGAAGCAGAGGGGCTTCCTTCCTTGCTTCCCTTCCTCCTGCCTCCCCTCTCGGTCCAGCGGGCCGGACCTGCCTTGCGTCTGTGAGCTCTCGCTACGTCCTCCCAACCTTTGTCCTGCGCAGGCGACTCCCCCCATGGGTCTCTTGCAGCTTTTACCCCAGTGTCTGCTTCTTGGAGAATCCAAATGGATCCAATTAGGGGTGAGGAAGTGTGGGATAGGCTCTCGGTGACTGTTTTCTCTGAGGCTGTGACTCTTGCGAGGCGGAAGCAGCCCCTGGGAGCCCTCCCAGTGCCTTGTGCGGTGGAGAGCACTTGGACCTGGATCCAGGAGGCCAGCACTCACACATCCTGTCTGAGCGCAGCTTCCTCTCTCTAAAATGAGCTGGCCAGTTCAGGGGCCCAGACATCACTGTTAGTCTCCTTTTAGTCTTTAAATTTGTCTTTCTCTCAGGCTCAGTGAGTTGTGAAAGGCTGCAATAGGGGCTTGGTTTACTTGACACTATAATATTATTTTTTGAACCTTCATATTATTGTTGCATATTGACATTAATGTGAAGGAGCAGGATGACTTGGGTCCTTCCTGGCAGTGTCATTTGCCAGCTGGCGGCCTTGGACAGTTACCTGCCCTCTCTAGGCCTCCCTTTCCTTGTCTACGAAATACAGAATAGGTTGTAGCGTGTGAGGATTTTTTTGGAGGTTAAATGAGTGAATATATTTACTGTGCGTTACTATAAGGTTGACTTCACGCTCATTCCCTCTTCTCCCTTAAATGTCACCTTGGAAAGATGGAGGCAGCCTGGTAGAGGTGTACCTCCTAGACACCAGCATACAGAGCGGCCACCGGGAAATTGAGGGCAGGGTCATGGTCACTGACTTTGGGAGTGTGCCCGAGGAGGACGGGACCCGCTTCCACAGACAGGTAAGCACGGCCCTTCAACATGAGGGCTACCTCTGCCCTCATCCCCATCCTGGAGGTGGGTGGGGACTGCTCCCCAAGAGTGTTGCAGCTGTACTGCTGGGCTGCCCCCCTCCTCAGCTGTCACTGTCCCCTCCCTGACATCAGTTGTGGGAAGGGTGTCCATCCAGCCACCTGCTGATCTGTTATGGGATGGCGGGGGGTCTTCCTCATGTTGGTTGAGCAGGCCAGCAAGTGTGACAGCCACGGCACCCACCTGGCAGGGGTGGTCAGCGGCAGGGACGCTGGTGTGGCCAAGGGCGCCAGCCTACGCAGCCTACGCGTGCTCAACTGCCAAGGGAAGGGCACAGTCAGCAGCACCCTCATAGGTGAGTGATGGCCCCAGACAGTGCTGGTCTCTCTCCATCGTGGACCTGGCCTGGGAGGTGGCTTGGGCTGGGCCCAGGGAGAGCTAATGTCTCCTAACCAAGAATGCTGTGGCAGCCTCTGCTGCAGAGCCAGAGTGTCAGGGCTGGCAGGGTCCCCGGAGGCCACAAGTGTAGATGAAGAAACCCAGGCCCTGAGAGGGTCATGCAGGTAGCCAGGGAGTTCAGTCTTGACCCTGGGTCAGTGACCTTTCCACAATTCCACACTGCTCCACTTTTCAAATCTGGTGACGTCTTTATGTCTTTTGTGATGTTATCGTCCATGTAGAAACCCTTGAGGTGATCTAAGCAAACTTTTTCTATCTTCTGCTTACATACCTCTGAGACCAGGGGACTCACTCACTTGCATGACTGGGCCCTGCAGGTCACCCTGGCCAGGCGGACGTGTGGAGGAACTGGCAGAGGACTTTTTCTAGACTTTTGCAGGTGACTACATTTTGTCCACCTGGCAGGCCCTGTGTGAAGTCCAGCTGAGAGCTAGGACTCCAGGGGCCTGTGGACAGAGAAGAGGGAGGGTGCTGTCCCCTCCTGACTTCCTGCTGTGGCCAGACATTGAGCAAAGGCCTTTGTACACCATGTCCTGGGGCTGGCCTTGCCATAACTGCTAAACAGTTGATAAAACCAGTCCAGAGAGGGGAGGGGACGGCCCGGGGTCACACAGCTCAAGCTCGTGACCTCACTGGGCAAGGTGCTGGCTCTAGGCAGCAGCCTGACTTCCACTGCAAGCCCCAGGCCCCAGGGTCAAACACTGGAGCTGGCAGAGGCAGCCCACGGGACTGTTTGAAAGGCCGAGAAAGCCCAGGAGTCTGCCTTGTGCCTCACCAGTTCTGTCCTGAGACTTTCCTACAGAGTACAGGTTTTGACATTCAGTTTTAAAGGTAAGAATCAATAAGCTTCTGTCCCATCAGGTGACCCCTTGTACCTGTCCCACCCCTTTATTGACTGACCTCGGCTCAGGCAGGCCAGTTCCTGAAGGTCAGTGTGTGGAGGGAAGACCGCTCTTTCACAGAAAGGCTTCCCTAGGCCTGGTGCTCTGGCCGCTGGAGGACTTCCTGGAGAAGTCCCTTCTTTGGGGTCCCAGTCAGTGCAGGGGAAGCCCCTGTTGCTTTACCTGACAGGGGACAGGGACCCAGCAGTCACTATTGCATTCATTGCCACTGCCATTTCCTCCTCTGTAAGCAGGTGATTGTGTGTTGAGTCCGAGCAAAGAGATAAGCACACAGTAGGTGCTTAATAACTAGCAGCTGCAGGCCGGGCGTGGTGGCTCATGCCTGTAATCCCAGCACTTTGGGAGGCCGCGGTGGGCAGATTACCTGAGGTCAGGAGTTCGGGACCAGCCTGGCCAACATAATGAAACCTCGTCTCTACTAAAAGTACAAAAATTGGCTGGGCAGGGTGGTGGGCCCCTGTAATCCCAGTTACTTGAGAGGCTGAGGCAGGAGAATTGCTGGAAGGTGGGGGATGCAGTGAGCCGAGATCATGCCACTGCAATCCAGCCAGGGCAACAGATTGAGACTCCGTCTCATAAATACGTAAATAACTAGTAGCTGTAAATGTGGCTACTGTTCTTCATCTCCACACTGAGTGCCACTCCACTCCCTCCCTCTGTGGTGTGATGGGCCTCACTAGCTGTCTCCTAGGAGGGGCATGGCTGTGGGATTCCAACTCCCACCTTGGCCACAGCTCCTGGAGACATCTCAGAGGCCAGGATGCAGAAGGCTCCCACACCCCATTTGACGGGGGAGAAGCTGTCAGCTCCAGGTCCCCTTGCACATCAGGGCCAGAGCTGATTTAGGCCCCCAGTCTCCAGGCCACTGGGCCAGAGGTCACAGGCTGGCAAAGGGTTAGAACTGTCATTGGTGACAGTAGCATAAGGTAGACCATGGTCTGCACCAAAATGGGGCAGTAGAGTGCCACCGAGACCAGAGAACCACACCCTCAAGGGTAGGGAGTTATGGTATGGGGGCCCTGGGCGTGGAGGCTTTTAATTCTTCAGACAATCCTGGGAGCAGCTGTCACTGTTTCACAGAGGGTGGGGCCACACAGCTCGGGAGTGGCCAAGCAAGACTCTGTTTGAGTTTGTGTGGATCCAACACTTGCGGCCACGGTGGAGGGGCATCTGAGCCCGGTCTCAGAGACTCGCAGGGGGAAGTTGGGCAGGGCCCAGCTCACTCCTTCTCATTCCTCTGAGGTTCATCCTGTTTGCTGGAAAGGGATAATAAGGTTATTGTGAGGATCCCATAAATTCATATATTTAGACACTTAGAACAGAGCCAGGCACACAGAAGGGCCCGGGGTTGGTTAGTTTGATTGCTGGTGTAATGGCTAATATCTTCCAGTTTGTATTGACCAGGGTTCTGCAGAGAAACAGAACAGGTGGGATGTACATATTAAGAGTTTCAAGGAATTGGCTCATGTGACCGTGAGGGCTGGCAAGTCTGAAATCCGCAGGGCAGGCCAGGCAGGCTGGCAATTCCTGCAGAATTTGATGTTGCCCTATTGAGCCCTAAGGTAGTCCTGGGCAGAATTCCATCTTCTCTGGGAGACTTCAGTCCGTTCCCTTAAGGCCTTCAGTTGATTAGATGAGGCCCACCCACGTTATGGAGAGTAACCTGCCTTACTCAGTCTTCTGATTTAAATGTTGGTCACATCTAAAAAATATTTTCGCAGCTGAATTTCTACTGACTTTTGACCAAATATCAGGCCAAGTTGATCCACAAAATTAACTATCGCTCTGTGCCTGTAAGGGAGGGGCTGGGGAAGGGGAGCAAGTCTGCCCAGGGGGTGACCTTGGCTTTGTTCTCCCAGGCCTGGAGTTTATCTGGAAAAGCCAGCTGGTCCAGCCCGTGGGGCCGCTGGTGGTGCTGCTGCCCCTGGCGGGTGGGTACAGCCGGGTCCTCAACGCCGCCTGCCAGCGCGTGGCGAGGGCTGGGGTTGTGCTGGTCGCCGCTGCCGGCAACTTCCGGGATGATGCCTGCCTCTACTCCCCAGCCTCGGCTCCGGAGGTAGGTGCTGAGGCTGCTGTCCCAAGGCCGGGGGTGGAAGGAGTCGTCAGCGACCCCGCCATGCGGGAGGTTGAGGAGAAAGGGGCTGGACTCCCCATCATGCCAGAATCTGAACAGCAGCGGCCCAGCCACGCCCCCACGAAGCGGCGCCCACGTAGCCACGCCCCCACGTAACGGTGCCCACGCCCACGTAGCTACGCCCCCACGCCCCTCCTGAGCGCTCTCTGTCCTGAAGGTCTCCTGGTACCCGCCCCTTCCCCATCCCCATCTCCAGGCCCTGCGTCCTCTGCCCAATACTTTTAGGGCCTCCCCATTGTCCAGCTCCCTCCGTGGCTCCATGATTGACCACTTGAGCAAGGCTAATGAGAATGGGAGCAGTTGAGGGCTCAGACCTCTCACCCGAGGAACATCCAGAGCGTGTGCCGCATGCCCGGTGCAGTGTGGCTGCGGGGACACAGACACAGAGCCTCTGCCCTGAGGAGCTGGGGGGCAGTGACCGTTCCTCTTCTGACCACCACTCCCTGGGCACCTACTGTGTGTCCGGTTGTCAGGACATCGAGGGGAAGGAATCTTGTGCCACCAAGTATGGAATTTCAGATCTGTGTGTGCGCACTCATGTATGTGCACGTACTCATGTATGTGCACGTGTGTGTGCGCGTGTGCGTTGGGGGCGGGGATTGCGGAGGAGATGCTTACCTGACAGTGCAGCCTAGGCCCTCCCTGGCCTGTGAGAGGCTTCCCTGGCGGCTGAATTTAAAGGCATCAAGCAAACAAAGCCCATGACATCTTCTCTGCCTTGCTCTCTTAATTCCACCCCCAGTGGCACTTAGGACCACCTGATAAACCGAATAGCTTCCTGTTTGTTTACTGTCTCTCCCCCAGTAGAATGTAAACTCCACAGGGGCATTGGAAATGGTGCCTGGCTGTGGTAGGGACAGGGTGGGCAGGGGTGCCAGAATTCTGCCTGGGGAGTCAGATTTTCTTTAGGAGGGGACATTTGAATGGGACCTAAACAGCTGTACAGCAGGTGGCCAGCCCAGCTGGCAAGGCCTCAGTCTGCCCCTGCAACCCCTCTCTTGGGCTCCTGTCTCTGCCACCCAAATCCTCACCTTTCCAGGTCATCACAGTTGGGGCCACCAATGCCCAGGACCAGCCAGTGACCCTGGGGACTTTGGGGACCAACTTTGGCCGCTGTGTGGACCTCTTTGCCCCAGGGGAGGACATCATTGGTGCCTCCAGCGACTGTAGCACCTGCTTTGTGTCTCGGAGTGGGACATCACAGGCCGCTGCCCATGTGGCTGGTGAGTCACCCCACCACTGCCTCAGCCACTGTGATGCTAACAGCCCCTTTGGCAGTCAGGGTCTGTGCCGGGACCTCCTGTACCAGGCTCTGTGCAGGGGGACCAGAGATGAGGCAGGCCTCATCGTGCCTCAGTCTGATGAGGGAGGCAAGTGCACCAAGGGAACACGAGGTCAGGCCTGTATTAGAGGGAGCCCAGAGGAGGCACCTGCCCAGCCCGAGGGTCAGAGAAGGCTTCTTGGAGGAGGGACATTTGATCTGGAGCTTGATGGATGAATAGGAGTTCACCTGCCCACTAAGACAGCAACTACCAAGGCTTAGAGGTGTGAGAGGAGGCTGTCTTACCTTACTGAGTAAGGGACTGTAGGCGGCTTACCTTTGGGAAGAGAGCTTGTGTCTGTGTGTGTGCATGTGTGTTTGTGTGTGAGTGTGTGTGCACACGGGCAGGAGGGCCAGGCCACCTTAGGCAGGTAGACAGTCTACCTTCGGGAAGAGAGCTTGGTGTCTGTGTGTGTGCACGTGTGTTTGTGTGTATGTGTATGTGTACACACATGGGCAGGAGTCCCCTGCTGGGGCAGGTAGACAGTCTGCCTTCACCTTTCACCGTTCACCCCTTCACCAGGCATTGCAGCTATGATGCTGTCTGCTGAGCCGGAGCTCACCCTGGCCGAGTTGAGGCAGAGACTGATCCACTTCTCTGCCAAAGACGTCATCAATGAGGACTGGTTCCCTGAGGACCAGCGGGTACTGACCCCCAACCTGGTGGCCGCCCTGCCCCCCAGCACCCATGGGGCAGGTAAGCAGGATGGCAGGCTGGGCAAGTCCAAGCCGGAGCTTGGGAGGTGTGTGTGACCTTGACAGTCTCTCCCCTCTCCCTTGTCTGTGTGAGGAGGATGATACCACCTTAAATAGGATTAAATGAGAATGGGGCTCTGAAAGGGCTTTGCAATATTTTCATAGCATGTTTTTATAGAGACAGTTGAGTATGTTCTTTAAGCCCTCCTCTCAAATGAACTAAAGATTTTTCTAGAGTCCGTGGTGGAGCTCCCCTCACTCCCAGCACCCCCTCCTCACCCTAGGCCCTTTTTGCAGGTTGGCAGCTGTTTTGCAGGACTGTGTGGTCAGTGCACTCAGGGCCTACACGGATGGCCACAGCCATAGCCCGGTGTGCCCCAGATGAGGAGCTGCTGAGCTGCTCCAGTTTCTCCAGGAGTGGGAAGCGGCGGGGCGAGCGCATCGAGGTGAACTGCACCCCTCCTTCGTGTGTGTGTGTGTGTGTGTGTGTGTGTGCGCGTGCACACGCATGCGTGTTAGCACTGGGCCCTCAGAGACTCCATCCTCCAGACTCCAGCCCTTCTGTAAGCTTACAGGGCTGGCCAGGGCGGGAGTGGTACACTCCTCATCTCACATGGTTGGGGGCTGCTGGAGAGAGCCACGGGAGGAAGGGTTTCCTGGAGGCTGCAGGACAGTGCTGGATGGATTCTCAGTGTCCATCTGGGTGTGAGCATGGGGCAGGGCAGGGTGAGGGTCAGGGACCTGCTACTCTGGACTCAGCCATCTCACTCAGATGCTCCATGGTTCTGGGAGCTGAGAAATCTCAAACCAGTAAAAAAGGGGAATTGGTGTTGATGCTACGGGAAAGTGCACAGATGCCATCTGGCCAAAGCATTTTGGTGGAAGGGCAGTGCCCAGCCAGGAGAGTGAGGAGGGGCAGGCATTTCTGGCCTGGGAGATGGTGTCCCAGTGCTCATGTGAGAGGCAGAGGGGGTGGGGAGGAGCCGGCTGGGTCCTTGCTTTGGCCCCTTGTGTTTCCCTGTATATCTCCATTTTGAAATCACCCCATGTTTGGAAGAACTTTCGAGTATTCAGAGCTGCCGCTTGGCAGAACAGTCTACCCTGGGCAGGAACGATCTCCTTGTCCCCAGAAGGCTAGAAGCAGGGTCTGGCTGGCAGGGACACTGATGAGGGTGCTTGAGTTGATCCTGTCTAGTCTCTTCCTGTGTTTTCAAAGCCAATTCTAAAGTGGATTCCCATTTCTGTCTTTGACTCTCAGGCCCAAGGGGGCAGGCGGGTCTGCCTGGCCCACAACGCTTTTGGGGGCGAGGGTGTCTACGCCATTGCCAGGTGCTGCCTGCTACCCCAGGCCAACTGCAGCATCCACACAGCTCCACCAGCTGGGGCCGGCATGGGGACCCATGCCCACTGCCACCAGCAGGGCCACGTCCTCACAGGTAGGAGGCTGGGCCTGCCCGTGGGTGAGGAGGGTTCCCTGTCTCCTTATGTATCCACTGCCCTCGAGGCTTGGTCCTCACCAGTGTGATCAGTGAGACTTGAGCCTGACTTTCTATGGCATACTCTTGTCCTGCCACTTCCATGCCCTTTGACCCTGGGCAGGTGACCTTACTTCTCCTCATCTCAGCTTCCTCCTCCATAAGAGGGAAAAAGGTATTAGCTGCCTCATTGGGTTGCGAGGAGATGGGCAGCATCTAGGGCACTGGCCGGGAGCATGGCAGGTGCTTTGCCTAAGGTGATGCAGTGCAACAGAGGCGGCTCAGAGAGAGGCCCCAGGCTGGGCTGAAAGGAGGGCAGACCTTGGTTTAATTTCACTGCCACTCAATAGCTGTGTGACCTGGGCAAGTTACTTAACATCTCTGTGCCGCATTTTCCTCATCAGAGGAAATGATGGGTGCTAAGCACTTAGCTTAGTGCTGGGACAATATAAATTCTAGCTATCATTACTATTGTTGTCATCACCCATTGCTTTAACATTTAGTCTCTGGTATAGGCAACTATTGCCTGGGGAGGGGTTGGGGGGAGTTTGAGCATCTGAGGCCATAGATCCCCTGCCTTACTGCCTCCATCTCTGGGTGGAGAGATGATGTTTTCCCTGAGAAACTAAGGCTCAGAGAGGTTGAATGGCTCTCCCAAGGTCACACAGCTGGTCAGCAGTGGAGTTGAGAACACAGGAGTCCTGGTGCTCAGGCCAGCATCTCTTTTCTTCTTTGAGTTGTTTCTGGGTTTCGTAGCTCTTGCCTCAGACCTTAAAGAGAGACGGTCTGATGGGGATGGGCACTGGAGAAGAAGTGTCCCAGCATTTCAGTATCTGAGCTGGCCCTCCTCTGCCCCGGCCCTCCTCTGCCCCAGGCTGCAGCTCCCACTGGGAGGTAGAGGACCTTGGCACCCACAAGCCGCCTGTGCTGAGGCCAGGAGGTCAGCCCGACCAGTGCATGGGCCACAGGGGGGCCAGCACCCATGCTTCCTGCTGCCATGCCCCAGGTCTGGAATGCAAAGTCAAGGAGCATGGGCTCCCAGCCCCTCAGGAGCAGGTGAAGAGGCGCGTGGGGCTGGGTGGGTGGGGTGCGGCGGGGTGGTATGTGTCTGTCCTGTGCAGCTTCTCTATGTCAGTTTGTGCCACCACTGTGACAAGGTCATGCATCAGGGTGGCGGTTTGTGGGTAGATGCTGTGGGCAGCTTCGGCCATTGTGTGGACAGCACGTGTATGTGTTTGTGTGTGGCTGGGTCTGTTTTTGCTTTTGTCCAGATCAGTAAGGTTTGCTACCTGGGTATCCCACTCCACTTTGTGCAGAGATGGGGTCTCGCTATGTTGCCCAGGCTGTTCTCAAATTCCTGGGCTCAATTGATCTTCTGGCCTCAGCCTCCCCAAGGGTTGGGATTACAGGCATGAACTATTGCACCTAGCCTCACAGATCTATTTAACAAACCTGGGAGGTTCTCAGGGCCAGGAGCAGCACTGGGCTCTGAGGACACAGAGCTCTCAGCCATGACCCTGAGGGGGTGCCTGAGCTGCAGGCTGAAGGTTATTAGCTTGACCAGCAAGGCAAGAGAGGGCCCTGCCGAGATTAGTGAGGCACGTGCCAAGCCCTGGAATGTGAGAGCCAGGCCTTCTAGAAACTTGGGTGTGGACATGGCCAACGGTTGCTCTGTAACGCTCCTTTTTAAAAGCCAGTGGGAGCTTCTTAAAAGGCAGCCCTAAGGAGTCCACTCTTAAGTGAACTCAGACTGGGTTTTAAAATGCAAGTCTGTGTTCATTCAGGTCTGGATGGTGCATTCCTCGAGAGCAAAAGACAGTCTTGGTCTTGGATCCACTTGCCCTGTGTGCACTGAGGGCTGCTAGGTTCCAGGTGCTGGGGAGGGATACAGGCCGGACAGACATTTGTTCTTCCTCCTGGAGCATCCATTTTAGTGGGCGAGGACAGAAAACAAACCAGCCAATGATAGAATACTGAAAAGATGCTATGCAGGAAGGGAATGGCGTGGGGGTGAGGTCAGCAGAAGTCTTGCTGAGAAGGTGCAGGAAATGGGCATGAGGACAGGGCAGAGAACACGTTCCAGGCAGAGCAAAGGCCCTTGGAGGGGGATGTGCCTGGGGGTACCAGGAGGCCAGAGAGGTAGGAAGTTATGAGGTGGGGGGTGCCTCAGAGGGGACAGGGCCAAGTCAGGTGAGACTTGAGGGCCACACAGGGGTCTGGCCTAGGAGGAGTGTGATCTGGCCTGGATCTGAACATCTCACTGCGGCCCAGCTGCTGAGCTGAGAAGAGATGACCAGGGCCTTGTGCAGAAGCAGGGAGACTGGAGGGTCCAGGTGTGGGGGCGGGGCTCAGGCTGGGGCCGGAGATGTGGTGGATACTGGAGTCTGAAGGGAGCCTGCAGGCCTGGTGGGTGCATGTGGGTGGGAGAAGGGGAGGACGGCACCAAGGCTCGGGCCCCTGGACAGATGGAGTTGCCATTAAGTGGGATGGGGCAGGCTGTGGGGTCGTCAGTTTCAGAGGGAAGATGAGTTTGGCATTAGTATGGTAGGCATCTGTCTGTCTCTGCGCCCCCTCAAACCAGGCATGAAGCAGGAGCTCACGTTTGGTCAGTGAGGGTGCAGAACCGCTGAGGCAGGAGGTGTGGGCTGGAGATACGTGGTTGTGTCCCAAATGGGCCCTGAGCTGGCGAGGGCCGTCTATACTTCAGCCCCACAGCGAGATGTCGGGGCGGGAGAGAAATGAAGTCTGGGTGGGGTTCCCAGCCATGATGGACATGTGCTTTCTTCCTCTCCTTGGGCTCTGGCAGGTCACTGTGGCCTGCGAGGAGGGCTGGACCCTGACCGGCTGCAGTGCCCTCCCTGGGACCTCTCATGTCCTGGGGGCCTATGCCGTAGACGACACATGTGTGGTCAGGAGCCGGGACGTCAGCACCACAGGCAGCACCAGTGAAGAGGCCGTGGCAGCCGTTGCCATCTGCTGCCGGAGCCGGCACCTGGCGCAGGCCTCCCAGGAGCTCCAGTGACAGCCCCACCTCAGTACGGGTGCCTGGGGAGGGTCAGGGGCTGAGATTTCAAATGGTTCCGACTTGCCCCTACCTCAGCCTTCCATGGCCTGGCCCGAGGGGGCGGGGATACTTACACCTTCCTGGAGCTGCTGGCCTGGCCCTTGTGTGGGGCAGGCCCCTTGCCTGGAACTCACTCATTCTGGATGCCCCCTCCTCTGGTGGAGGTGCCAGGAAGCTTCTTCCCTCGCTGTGGAGCATTTCACCATTGAAACGGTGGAGCTGTGCTCAGGTTCTGCTAGCTGCTCCCAACATGCCGACGCCTGTGGGCAGAATGACTTTTATTGAACTCTTGTTCCGTGCCAGGCATTCAATCCTCCAGTCTCCACCAAGAAGGCAGGATTCTTCCCATGGGAAGGGGAGGAGGTGGTAGGGGCTGCAGGGACAAGCATTGTTGGGAGGTGAGTGCTCACTGTGGGGAAGCCCCTTAGGGCTCCCTGATTAATGGAGGCTCAGCTTTCTGGATGGCATCTACCCAGAGGCTGGCGACTGACGTGTCCCTGGTGGTCATGGACTGTGCCTTGGTTTCCTGAGCCACCCTTACTCTGTTCTGTGCCAGCTTGTGCTAATACCCAAGGGGTGGCCTGCAGGGAGCCATCACCTCGACTGACTCCGCAGTGTGTAGTGGTGCACGTGCCGTCTCAGCCAACCCGCTCCACTACCCGGCAGAGTACACATTTGCACCCCCACTTTAGAGAGGAAGAAACCTGGAACCAGAGGGGGCATGCCTGCCAAGCACACAGCCAGGAAGTGAGCTGGAAAACCCAGACTGCGCTGGCTCTGAAGCCAAGCCTCTTCTTACTTTACCTGGCTGGGCACCTCATTTTTACAGGTAACAGTGAGGCTGGGAAGGGGAACGCACACCAGGAAGCTCGGCGAGTGATGCCTGCAGGCACGGCACTTTTCCCGTTATCACCTCGACCTGATTCACTGTGGCCTGGTGGAGAAGCTTCTGAGGGATGGGGCGGGCGGAGAGGGACAATGGTCCCTCCTTGAGCACCAGCCCCCCCAGGCAGGCAGACATTCATCTTTTGGGCCTGTCCTCTCTGTTGCCATTTTACAGCCAGCTTTTCTAGACCTGTTTTGCTTTTGTAACTTGAAGATATTTATTCTGGGTTTTGTAGCATTTTTATTACTATGGTGACTTTTTAAAATAAAAAACCAACTTTGTCCTGACTCTTGCTTAGACTTGACTGCCTAGGGTGATGGCTTGCTTATATTAGGACCTGTGTAAGTTTGTTAAATTGTTGAGTAAGCCAAATATTTGAAGAGTACTTGTATCTTGAGTGTAAGTATTTGACAAATACTGGTGATGCGTTTATTCCTACGCCTGTCCTGGGAGTGAAATGAATGTCCTCCTGCAGCTCCCCTGACCACCCTGGCAGTTGAAGTGCCTCCTCCTTGCTGATGGGTGCCCTACAGCACGCTAGATGCTCTGTTGTCCTGATCTCCCAATGCCGTTTTCATTCTTTTCTCCCCAGTACCTGGCACAAAGCCTGACCCAGAGTATTTATGGAATAAGTTAGTGCCAGATGCTTCTGTAATGAGCCAGTGCTACGTCCATGGCCATTTTTCATGATTTCCAATTCACAACAGTCTCAGGCCGAGTGCAGTAGCTCACACCTGTAAATCCTGGTACTTTGGGAGGCTGAGGCAGGAGGATTGCTTGGGTTTAGGGGTTCGACTCTGGGCAACAGTGAGACCCCAGCTCTATAAAAAATTATAAAAAATTAACTGGGTGTGGTAACACATGCCTGTGGTCCCAGCTACTCAGGAGGCTGTGGGAGGCTTGCTTGAGCTGGGAGGCTGAGAGTGCAATGAGTCATAATTGCATCACTGCACTGAAGGCTGGGTTATAGAGTGCATAATGATCCCATTCAATGTGGGACCTCCCGGCCCTCCACTCTAAGGCTAGTGAGCACAGCTGTCTGAAGCAAATTCTATGTCTACACTGCCCATGTCATCAGGAATCTCTGGCAAAAATTCTCCCAGATTACATTTTCGGACAATTCAGTGTCTTATATGGAAAGCATTCAAGAGTTGACAGATGGCAATGGCTCGAACACCCTAACTATGTATCTCTGCCCATTGGAACCTCTGCCTGTTGTGCAGCCCTGGACTCTCACTCTCCTTCCCTCCCCAGGATCAAGTGTTAGCTGGTTAGAAATCCACACCGACAGGCCTATGACGTTGTAACAACTTGATTCTTGCAGAGGGTTGGCAGATGGTCACCAGGAGTGGGGGAGGAAGGGACGTGACTTGCAGGAAGAGGAAGATCTGGACTAGCAAATAGGGAAGGGAACCGATGTGAGCAACGCTGGACACTAGGACCGGGATGGAGACCTGTGCAATCTAGCAAGAAGCCCAGCATGATCAGTGACACAAATCTATGCTGGGGACCACTTGGGAGAACGGAAAGCTTTGGTGGAGATGAATGTAGACCATCAATCTAAGTTCAGCGTCCTCCTCTAAGCTTTGCAGATGAATCCTAAAACAGCCTCTCCAGACGAAAGAACAGCAAAAGGCTAAGAGAACCCACAGTCTCCTTTATCAGTGTAAAGTGCTAAGAGGAATCATACCATTTAGCACCAGGCACAGGCCCATGCTGTCCGCCACCCACTACGGCTGTATTCTGCTATATGAAAAATCGTGAGACTCCAACTCTTATGTTTTTGAAAAATTTATTTTATACTCTTAGAAGCTAAGAACTTTGCCACGCATGAACCAAATTTTGAATTAAGGTTCTTCCCTAGTGTATCTACTTCCTTTTGAAATTTTATAAACAAGATTTTATATACAAGAGGTAGCAGAGGAAAATTCCAGTCTGCTTGTTCCAAGCTCAAAAGGTACTGCACACACCTCAATGTTAGCAGGAAAGGTGGGGCAGGACAGGGTAAGTTTGATGATAACGGCGCTCTAGTTCCTAAAACTGATTGTAGTTGTCAGCGACTGCGTGAGGACTGTAGAAGTCGTGGTGAGATGCCCGCTGGGATGCTTATTTTCTTTCCCAGGATGCCTTTAGCGGGCAGAATCGGCCATCCTAAGATTGGCCTCACTAAGGGAGCTGCTTGAGAACACACAGCATTGAGTTAATTGTGCAATTCCTGCTCTGTTTGCAGACCATTTTGAAAGGTTTATAAAAACATCTTCATCCAAAAAATTGGCAGTAAAAATGACAACTCTTCCAAGGTAAGCCTGTCATAATTGTTACTGTTGTACTATGTTAAAAAAAGTCATCAGCAGGTTCACTGACTGTAGCTGTCAGAAATCAAGTGGTTACCAGCAAAGTGAAAACGATGGTCACTGAAGCAACGGTGTAAGCAACATGAACCGAAGCATACAATATACACTGTGGGCGATCCTGATGAAACTTTACAGTGAGGACAGCAGGTGCTGGGGTGTGGAAGGCGTTGTTTCCATAGGAAATAAGGGGACTAGAAGTGGCGATTTCACTCCTGATTTTGGGCTCCTGAGAGTGCAGTGGCCAGCGATGACATCCCAGCGCGGATCATCGCCAGCATTTCAAGGTCATGTCCCACACAATCTCTTGGTGAGGATGGGGGTGGAGAGAAGGTGAGGAGAGGGTAGGGGAAACAGTCGGACATGAAGCATTCACGTACTCAAAACCAGCACTGGAACATCACATTTCAAACTGCAAGAACACTGGAATTGTCTGAAGTTTGCCACGCGCCTCTGTCTGTTTCTCTAAGGGTACAGTTCTGCTCTTAAGTGCTGGCCCTTCCATCTTCTTAGCATGTTTGACAAAGGGCATCGTGAGCCTCCAGGAAGTCACAGAATAACAAAGTGAAGTCTGATGGCACAGAAACCCTCACTGTCAGACGATGAAGTGACTGGGCCATGGAGAGAGCACAGCAATGAGACGCCATCTGCCTGGCCACGTGCCCACACAATGCCACAGCAGCCAGACAGGCACTTTGGGGCTGGCTGCACCTCTGTGACTTGGCAAATCTCACTGACAGTGGAAACCTGGCACTTCCTAAAGCTCCCTAGTTCTGTGCACGGTGAGATGAAAATAAGGCAGAACCTATAACTAAAGGCAAAACAGGGCTGAAAATGTGAGCAAGTCAAAATACAAAATGTACAAAATATTTATGAAATATGTGGGTGTAATTTTTCTCCCCCACCAAAAAGGGAGCTGGTATAAATGAACGAATGGTGCTATACTTTGGAAATACAACTAAATAGATGGTTATTCAATTGCTCTATATTTATTTCTGGGAAAATAAATCTTAAACCTTGACTGTCTTTTCAGTGTTAATTAGTCATATTGAGGAGAAACAATTCTCAAGTTCCTTCTCTGCATTAAAATTACTATGAAACTCACAAGCAGTATGTACCAACTCAAATGGTTGACTTCATATACAACCAATACCAAGGGTTTCGGTAATCACGTTTTAAGCAAAAACAAATGATTGCAGATCACATGATTTAAGACTACAGTTTATTCAATATGTCTCCAAGCATTAAAAAGATAATTTTGTGAAGTCAAACTCAGTAAAATTATATCTTAAAGTGCTTTTATTTTGCTGTTTTAAAAATCTGTTTGGGGAACAACTCATAACTTCTTTAAATGATTGATGTCAAAGAATCCACCCTGTACTTCTGGAGAACACAGCATTTTAAAAATTGCTCTTTTCAATCTCAATTATAATCAGAAAAATACCTTCAAGAGCTTAATATTTCCCAATTTTTCATCCTGATCCTGGTAACCTTTCATCAAGATTCAAGCTTATGCATAGGGTTCTCATCTAGACCCATCTGAAATTCTATACAAATAGGGAGACATATTAAATACAAAGGTCTGTGTAAATTGATTTCTTTAACTACTATTTTACAATGAAAAGGAATTTTATCACATATGTTTACATCATTTTAAACTGGATATTCCTGTTTAATGTTTCTGCAAGATTAAAAATTTGCCCCCACATATCTAAAAGCAGCTTGCTTTTTTTCTTAAAATATAAAAACCAAAGGAATTTCTTTTGTAGCATCGTAGAGAAAGCAACAGCTTTATGTTCACTCTTGTATGTTCGTGTAACAAAAAAAGTCAGCCACTGGCTTTATTTCTGAAAATCTCCACAGAAACGTGAATCCACATATAGCCCGCGCTCCCAGGACAGCTGATCCACATGCCGGAATTCTCACTGCCAAACAGCTCCCAAACCTGCTAGCGGCCTAAAAACGCTTTCCTTGAGAAATATGCGATCTGCCGAAGTCACAGCAGCTTTCCCAGTCCAATCTGCAGGCTCTTCCAAAGGGTTCAAGGATGAAATTCTGACTCCAAGAAGGTGCTGAGCATCCAGTATTGTGACTTGACTCCTCTCAGGCTGGGCACGTGCCTCTAGGGATCAACGTCATCAAGGTCACTTCTCAACTCGCCAATCATCATGGGAGATTCTGAACCCTGCAGAAAAGAAGAGGAAGCTAAAGTTCAGATGGTTAGAGAAAAGGTTTTCTAAGGCAACTGAATTGTGTTCTAAAATTTAAACATGTCTTCGTCTGGCAATTTAATGCAGTGTTTATCAGAGGGTAAGAAAACATGATAACTATTACATCTGGTACTTGACAACTCATGATTATGTAAAACATATACATTTCTATGCTCTCATTTAGTCAGTGAAACAACCCAGTGACTTAAGACGTCTAAAGTCACAACGCTACTCCACACTCATGTGAGAAGACAGAGCAGTGATAAAGCCGGGAGAGGCATTGGTGACTCCCTGCCCTGCACCTGTTAGAGATGGGCTCTGGGCCACTCCTGGGTCTGAAGGCTGCCTCTGTTACCATCTGTGCGGCCTTTGGCTTACACATGTGGTGATCATTCTGAATACTCACCGTGTGCTGTGGGACTCATCAAGCTGGGGTGGGGAGGAGCAAGGGCAGTCTGGAAGTGACAACCTAAACTGAGTGAGAGTTTGGGGTGAGTAGGAGGGGCCTGAGGTGGAAGGAAGAGAGTACATTTGATAAATGAAATTCAGAAAATGGGGTGGGGAGGTGCACAGGGGCCAGATCAAGCAGGACTGGGTTGAGGATTCTGGCTTTTCTCCTCATAGCAAAGGAAAGCCTTTGAAAGGTTTTAGTGTGTGACCCAGAGGGAAGCAGGAGTGGAGGTGAGGGGATCCTTACAGAGATCAGGAGACGAGGGGCTTAGACAG